CCAAGTCGCGCCACACTTTTCATCGTGTTCATGCCATTTTAGCCTCGTTTCCCTTCCTGAAGCGACTGAATTCTCGAGGACCCTGCCCGATTCCGCATGCAAAGTTGTATTCACGGTCACTGCCACACTCATACGTACATGTACACGGTACGGTACACAAGCAGTGGGGAGGCTCGATACGGAGAATTCGAGCAGATACAGAGTCCCCACGGATACCCGCATGTGCCGGACAGTTTTCTCTGCCCCTTCTGTTCATGCTTTGTCGATACCTGCCTTTTTCCCTCCGACGGTCTTCCGTTTCTGACGCCCTCTGACGAAGCTAGCACCTACTCAGTGAGTCTCAACTGAAGGGGAAATGAGCGGGTGCGAATTTGTCTGGGGGGGAACTGAACCTGACACACCGAAGCCCGCAAGACGGAAGGTGGGGTACTACGTGATGTCATTGATCGTCCGCCGAGTTCCACCGTTAGCCACTGGTATTTGAGCCGTGCGTTGAGGTTGTGGCTCGTCAGCCCTGGAAGGAAAGGCCGTTTTGCGACGGGTAAACTGTGCGAGGACTGTGCGGGGAAGCTGATGAGCTGCAGGACCTGGAAGAGCTGCAAAAGCTGCAGGAGCTACTCGAGCTGCGATGCTTGCCTACCTGCACTGGAAGGTGTCATTGACATCCTCCTGGCATCCCTTCATAGCAGTGTGCATAATGCTCGTCACGCACATGTTCCGTTTTTTACCCTACCTCTGAAGCTCCGTACCGTGAACGCCCTCGTCGTTCGAACACTGTCATTCAACTCATCGTCGCTCTGTCACTTTTGCTGACTTGTCAGTTGCTCAATAGGGACCCGAAACACGACAACGGTTCCCTCCCCTATTCGCCGTCGTCTCGTGGGGTCGTGTCTCAACGCTTCCGACTCCGAAGCGTGTTGCGTTGACGATGGGTTGGGATCGCCCTCACTCCGATTTTCTGACTGGATGCCATTTATGCCTTTCCCCCCTCTCACCGCAACACGCTGACCACGCGGCCACTGCTTGACGGATCACCATGGTCACGGCCATTCCTCCGGAACACCACAGAGTAGCTGCCCAAGCGCCAGCACTCTCCCTCCCGAGCCTCGCCTCAATGACGACCAAGAAATGCAGGTTGCCTACGATCCTTCATCCATCAGCATGTCGGTCAGGTGCTCAGGCGCTGGCATTGGCATTTGTGGATGATCCTTCGAGTGTACATACTCAGTGACAGGATGCGAATGAAAAAGTCTATTGCTGGTAACACACCAGCAACATCACATCTTTCTCATCATGCCGTCTTCACCAAATGCCATGCCCCGTCGTGTGCGACAGACAGGCCACAGACTCCACCACACCTCCTGTCAGACAGGGACCCTTGCTTCTGCCGAGTCCTTGTTCAGCCTACCATGGCGGTTGAATTCTCGCGCAGCTTAAAGTCAGGCCAGTGTCCAACGAAACTCGAAACCGGTTTTCTTGGTTACCTTGGAGTGACTTTGCTTCAAGATCAGCAGCACCCGCCTCCGAGACTGTGATCGACACTGGAAGGGGACATTAGTACCCCCATCATCTTGGTCTTTGACAATAAAACCTTGAGGGGGAACGAAAATGAACTGGTCCACCTCCTCGACCGGACCACCGAGATCGCGAAGAGTAGCTGCTCCGCCTGCCGAGTCATCCCGCCGAGGCGTCGCCGTGTCACTACTCGCATCTCCTGCTCATTTCCTTGCCCATTACCCCGGCGCCCCAGGATAACCACAGGTCACGTCGATCTTCGAGAAGTACAGCGCCCATCTCTTCAAATGGTCAAGTGGACGGGAGAGGGAAAAAGAATTGTCAGACGATCACGGACTATGATTTTCCTGGCCCGCTGTCCAATCCGGATCCAGGGCCACCGGTCAGAGTGACTATCTGTGAGGTTCACCGAGTGCATGTCATCATCCAGAGTGCTTCTCGAGATGCAGCTGTTGGAAGACACTAAATGATCTCCGTCTTGCGAAACTTCTTTGGGGTCTTCCATTGGATTGAGAATCCACCAACAGCACTAATCACATCGTCACTCTAGCGGTGGAACGCGCCCGTACAGCATGGCGGCGATGCCACCCCTTGCTTTCTTGTCTGGCCTCCACCAGTGTGCGAACGTTGAATGGAAGGACCCTTTCTTCCACTAAAGCTCGATAAAGCCTCATGTTGCATTGTCGTCCCAGGTCTCACGACTTCTACTTTCTCATACTTTTCACATCAAGCTCCAGCGAGTGCAGTCCTTTGGCTTATCCTCTCCTCCTTTGAGAAGACAGCCAATCACTCCATTCGCTAGTGAGACAGGGCATCGCAGCCAAGCCGATGCGAAATCCACACTCGGTCCCGTGATGCCGTTTACAAAGGCCAGCATAGTGGTGGTGGATTGAACTCCCGAGACGTCTCTTCTAGCCTCTTGAATCAACACTTACTTGTGCCCTCTATGGCGCTCACGTGCTTCGTCAGCTTCCTGCCTGCTGACCGCGCCCGAACCTGCGAATGGCCTTACCCAGCAGGGGGACAGTTGTCGGCATTAACATAGCTGGCTGTCAGCTGATACGACTATGCAGCTGCCCAGCACTTTTGTCCTGCAGCGAACTATTCAGCCTCAGGAGCTATGAGGCATTGGCGCCAGGCCCGGCATCCCGTCTCGGGGTTCGCGAAGCGAGGGCGCTGGAGGCTAGGTGAAAGCTGACCTCGTAGTGGTCTGGTACCATCCAGCCTTTTAACTTGTCTCATTTTGGCCTTTCTCCCTCTGTCTTCCCTCCCCGCCCTCCAGACCAACACCAGCGCATGCGCCAGGCCCAGTTCTCCTCGCCCGTGAGATTTTAGGGCACTGGTGCCACGTGGTAGGGACTTGGTGTGAAGCAAAGCGCGGCCGCGACAGTTGGCTTCCGCCATGGTCAAGCACGCTAGGTGGTGCCATGGGCTTGCTGTCGATGTGTGCATGAGAATAGCAGGCTAGTGAAATGCCTGGGAGCAGATGCTCCTTTCCACTTGTCTGTGGGGGTGCTCGCCGGAGCACAGTTCGGTTATGTTTCCCAAGCCATGAGGCTGCTTATGCAAGACACGTTCTGCCGTATTCATGGAACAAAAGCTTGCATACCAGCCACGACGACGGCTCATCTGCGAAGCGTGGCGTCAGGGTTGAGCGAACGCGGCACAGCCTGAGTATCGCCATAGCCATCGGCGTTGACGTCGCATCCCGGGCTGCAGCAGATGGCTTCGAAACGAGTGAAATGTGAGGAATGTGTCGCCTGCACGACGGCACACCTCTTCTCAGGTACGTTACACAAAACAGAGCCTTGGCGTCCGGCTGCCCCCAGCCACTTTCGTTTGGGGGCTTGCTTTCATGGGTGAGAATTGACAAATTTCAAATTTTAGATCTCGATCGCGATTTCAATCCCAATCGTAACACAACATCCCCGCACACCCACCCTCGCCTACTGTTTGGTCTTGAACTCAATCTCGCAGAAAAATGCATGTGCTCTGAATGTGGCAACTATAGAAACGACTGCATGTATCCGCACGTTTGTCTTAATTGAGTGTTGAGAAAAGAACGTGTTTACTGCTTTCAGATCACATGAATTCTAGAAGCTCACTTGTGAGTTGCCAATGCATCTACTTTTGACACAGGGGCTGGAGTATGGGCAGTAGCAGCGACTTCGTCACTGCTGATGGTGAATCGGATGCTGATTCGTGTTCTACCCGCGGCAAGGTGATCTCATGCCACCATTGCTTGCTATGGGCACGTTGTTGATATCTGGTCAACGCACCATTCCCAGGAGCCTCATCTCACGGCTCCGGATGTCGGTCGCCACGCAGACAGCTCACAATGACAACCCGAGGGTTATTGCACCTGCGCAACGTGTGTGTAACGATATCCCAAATCCCCATCGCCATCGCCTGAAAGTTCCTGTTTCTCTCTTTGTCGTTTCGTCTGCCACTTTCGACAGACATATCCAGGCTCGCTACCAGGCAAGTTCAGCCTCTGAGCCAAATATGATTCCTATCCATGTCCAATATACCGCACCCGGCCTGCCGTCGCCGAGCCGAAGAGTGATGCCACTCATAAAAGCTGGGCCATTAATCTAGCGAGGGTGTAAGACACCCTCTCCAACAGGTCTTGTCAGAAGCGAGACGCCCACTGGTCGAGGACTCGCTGAAGGAACGACTTTGCCAATTCATAGCACCACAACATGCGACGCTGCTGTGGTGTTCCATCGCATTCAACCGGCCAAAGGCCTCGAAGACATGAGTCGCGCCGTGGCTAAGTAGCAGCTGCAACATACTAAAAGCAGCACGGCTCCAGCCCGTATAGAGCTACCCAAGAATTGAACGGAGGATGGTCTCCTTGAACCTGGCCCCATATTTGGTTCTGCGCCGTGCCGAAGCAAAATCTCCATCGCCCCGATTCCATGTTTTAGCAGCCTCTTGAGGTGACGCTGAGTCCATGTCGACTAAACAAAGGCCTATATATAGCACAGCGCTCGCGTCAATTGTGGTACCCCTCATCATGAGCGGCCATCAACTCGTCACGTACCCTCCACCCTTCTTGAACATGGACCGAGGGCCGCTCGCACGTAGCATAGGCCTATCGAACCTAATCGTCGTTTGCTACAACACACAACGTGTAAGGTCGTTTCTCAGCCTATAGTACATGCGACGCGAAACGCGGGCCAGGGAGGAAATGTCCACGAAACCATCTGCGAGCCCGGATTTTTTGCCACAGACTGGAGAATCTACGAAGGGCTGTGTGCGGTCAACAAAGATAAGTGACAGTGGCTGCGTTGTTATCTTGCCGACGAGCCTCTTTCTTGGTTTTCGGTTGATGAGACGTACATCACGTTCAGAATTCGCAAATCAGAGGTAAATCATTGATTTTGATGGATAGGCAGAAGCTAGCTAATATGGTGCACCCATTTATTTCTTTAAATAGTATATGGCGTCGTGAAAAAACCAAGAATACTCTTACACTGCACTCAAACATGGGGTTCATTACCCGAGGTACCGTTCGTGGGTGCCAGGTTGCCGTGATGACCTTCATGGTGCACTCTGTCGTCGCTTCGCTTGGCCATGCCGGGCTCGCGAATGTGCAGGCCTAAAGCCGCCGGGTCGATGTTGCGGTGGCCCAGGAGGAGCAGGAAGCCGAAGACGGGCTTGGCGATCACGTCGAGGATGCCGTAGAAGATGGCCTCGGAGTCAGGATGGATCACGTTGCCGCCCTCGCTCAGCCCCCAGGCAATGGGGTAGAGGAACCAGAGGAAAATGGTGAGGACACCGCAGCGGGTGTAGGTGGTCGAGATGGAGCCGCCGAGGGCGTTGGCGTGGTGGCGGCCGTCGAAGACGAGGGCGTAGACGACGTAGAAGAAGGCAAACATGCCGAAGACCCAGTAGCCCCATTTGTAGGAGGAGCTGACAAGGGAGCCGACGAGACCGCATACAATCATGATCCAGTCGGCTAGGATGACGACAAGAATCGTTGGCCAGGGGAGGCCGGCGGTGAGGCAGAGATCGAGGAGCAGGAGCGGGGTCGTGATGAACCAGTCGATGTAGCGAACGTAGAAAATCTCACGCGTGCCCGCGGCGCTCACTGAATGATCGGAGCGCTCAAACTCAACTTGGATGGGCGTCTGACCGAGATTGGAGCCCATGGAGAAATAGGCAATGCACGCGACCAGGGTGATGCTGGCCGTGATGTAGTGAAAGAGACGATGGGTTTGACGCTTCCGACTTGAAATGGCCAGGAATGCTATTGTCGAAGCTCCCATGATGGCGCAGACTGTGTAATACCAGTCAGATGCGCGAACGGAGATGGCCAAGTCGGCTTGCGGGCCGACGCCGCTGTTGTCGCTGAGAGCTTGGTTGCCTCCCATTGTGGGATGTTCCAAGGCCAATAAGTTTATCTTTGATGATGATCAGAAATGTCGAATGAGAACGGTACTGGGTAGCTGGCAGAGCGATGTGTAGTGGCCGATGCCGAGGAGTTCGAAGGGGGCAGGGTCCTGAACATATAGTCGTTGAAGGTATACTAGCTAGAGTATTATGACCTCATGGCTTTTGATGTTTTATCTCGAAAGCTACTAATACGCATGTCTGCAGAACTTTGACTAACCTTTTGGTGCAGCTCCAGGGTCGCACTCCCATATGATTTTGGGCTGACGTGGTGACGTGGTGATGTGGTGACCATGGAACGATCCCATCAAACGTTTCTTAAAGATGTCACTACTGATGCAAACCTTTACTCAGTCATCAGTCAACTTGCTGGCAATGCCGAACCCCCGATGGGTGTTGCCCACACGTTGTCACGGGCGCATTGGCCAGAAGTGTTCCTGAGGGTCACGGACTCACGGGTAACACAGTGATGGGCGGGACGCTCCAATGACTACGTGACGTGCCAAGACGACTCACGATGCAGTAGAGATGTCAAGATCTTCCCGACGGCATTGAACTCCCCCATGACTGATTGTGGCAGCCGTGTCGATGCCATTGCCGGTGGTCGATGAAGTCACCACTTGTCCGGCCGTTGCTCCGGGGGGGGGGGTCCACTCGGCAACTCCGTGCCGGTCTGTCAACCATCTAAGCTCACCCTTAGCTCCGGTAGTGGACTGGATGACCAGGATCCTTGCATCATCGTTTTTCAAGTGCCGTCATGGGATTCACAATCGTGTCAATTAGCAATGTTCTGTCATGAAATTGAATAGGCGGCCTTGATGTGGCCTGAAAAGACGTAAGTTTACCTCACCATCGGTAATGGCGGCATCGGTGCGTAAAGAGCAAGGGTCTTTCGTCATGACGACGTTTTTCAACCCCGGGGATTCTGTCGATCGAGGAGCCTGGAAGTTTGCGACTTACCTAAGAAATCCGATGCCGAGGCAAGCTGCAATCTGGTTGAAGCTTGATCTTTTTGTGTCTTGGTAGGTTGTGGGTGTCTCGGTCCAGGGTGTCCTTTTGAACTTCTTGACAAGGAATCGCAAATCCTCACCAATGGTTGTTCTTTTGTGAAGAACACCGAGTTGAATGCTTTCTCAGCCTCAGGTACTCATACTGGTGCCGAAAATATGGGTGTACCGCACGAAGGCTCAGCAGAGCATGTTCCCTTTACACCATCTTCAAGTCGAAGCAGCAGTCATCCGTGAGTATCTCTACATCTTTGCTAGCTGTATGCGTTCTTCGAATTAAAACTGACTAGTCAAGGTACCTCTCTGGAAATTTCGCTCCTATCCAGAGCTCTCTTCCTCTCACGCGCTGCTCGTACACTGGTGTAATTCCACCAGATCTTGCTGGCGGGCAGTACGTCCGTAACGGCGGCAATCCCCTCGCCAACAGTGACTCGGAGCGTACAGCACACTGGTTCGACGGCGACGGCATGTTGTCAGGCGTTCTATTCCGGTCTTGCAATGACGGCTCCATCGTCCCGGAGTTCGTCAATCAATACCTTGAGACCGATGTGTACAGGTATACGAAGCGAAGTAAGCATCTGACGAGACCTGTACTGCCTAGTATCGCCTCGTTAGTGAACCCAGCGTCATCTCTCCTCCACATCGTGTTCGAGATATTGCGAACCGTGCTCCTTGTCGTTCTCTCCAGGTTTCGGAGCGCAGGTGCCACGATTAAAAAGATCAGTGTTGCCAATACGAGCGTCGTCTTCCATGACGGTCGTGCCTTGGCCACATGTGAGAGCGGTCCGCCCTTGCGCTTCACGCTGCCTTCCCTTGAAACAGTCGGGTGGTTCGATGGAGCCAAAGCAGAAAATGAGATCCCTACAGCAAGCTCTAAAGGCACATTCGGAGGACATGGGCCCCTGTCGTGGATGCGAGAATGGACAACGGCTCACCCGCGCGTCGACCCCCTGACAAACGAGCTGATATCCTACCACTCGACCTTCGTTGCCCCCTATGTGCGCTACTCTGTCATACAACCACGGCACACCAAGTCCCTCGAGGCCAGAAAAGCAAAGCCCTCTCCCATCAACAGACCCATCCCCGGGATCTCGTCGCCCAAGATGATGCACGACTTTGGCGTGTCGCTCGCGCACACCGTCATCCTAGACCTGCCCCTATCTCTCGATCCCATGAACCTCCTGCGCGGCACCCCAAGTGTCTCCTACGACTCGACAGCCCGCTCCCGTTTCGGCGTCTTCCCCCGCCACAACCCCGATCTGATTAAATGGTTCGAGACGAACCCCTGCATCATCTTCCACACCGCAAACTGCTGGGAGGAGCCCGCGACCCTCAAGCGCGACGCAGCCCTCCACCTCCTCGCCTGCCGCCTCACCTCCCCCTCTATGATCTTCAGCGCCGGAAATCTCCCAACGCCAGCCGTCCGCCCCGTGCCGCCAGAGTATGCCGAGGAAGAGCAGTGCCGACTCTACTACCTCTCCTTCCCCCTCGGCGACGGTGGCAACCATGACGCAGTCATCAAGCACCAGTGGGCCCTGTCAGCGATCGCCTTCGAGTTCCCCACCGTCGCGCCAGCCGCCGCCATGCGCAACGCCCGCTACGTCTACGGCTGCACGACGGGCCGGGACACCTACGCCGCGCCCCTGGGCAAGGCCGCCAAGATCGACTACCTGGCCAAGATGGACGTCGCGACGCTCATCGCGCGGGGCGAGGCGGATCCGCCGCGCGAGGTCACGGGGTGCGTGGACGCGAGGACGGTCAGGGAGATCATGGCGCGCGACGACCCGCGCGATCCGATCCGGCTCTTCGGGATGCCGGAGGGGTGGTTCGCGCAGGAGCCGCGATTTGTGCCGAGGGTCGGGGCCAGGAGCGAGGATGACGGGTTCTTGCTGACGTATGTGTTTGACGAGGCGCAGCTGGACGAGACGGGTGCATGTAGGCCTGATGCCGTGAGTGAGCTGTGGGTCATTGATGCCAAGAGCATGAGGGATGTTGTTGCGAGGGTGAAACTGCCACAGAGGGTGCCGTATGGGTTGCATGGGAATTGGTTTGGCGAAGAGGACATCAGTGGACAGATTCCTTATGAGAAAGTGAGACGGAGGGAGGGAGAAAAGGGGCAAGTCGGCCTGCTGGACAAGATACGAGAGACATGTGAAGACTTGGTTGGGTAGAACATGTATCGTGTTCGACTCGTTGACATCGATGAGTCCAACCTCCAGTGTCCTTCATCACAATTCTTTACTACAACTGTTTGGACAGTTGACCTTGGGAAGCGAAGAGGTAATCACGTTATCAGGGGACAAGTTGGTTTAACAATTTTATTGATTTGCTAGCGACTTCGAAGCGGCTACGATGGGCAAGCTACGAAGGCGCCGCAGAAGAGGTGCGAGTCAAGAGATCCCTCATCGACATTTCATCGCAGAGAAAGTTATCGAACACCCAGACTGTTGTTGTGAACAGCCTCTATCATCAACTTCATTCCAGTCCAGCGTGATGACGATGTTGGATCGATACATCCGTTGGTGGTATCTCGTGTAAAGCATAACCCCGGCATTTCACATGCCAACTCCGTTTCGAGAGGTGCAGTTGATTCCAGCAGCGCACTCTGACGATAATTGGGCAAACACAATCTTTTGTTTAAACCTGGTCCTCCGGGGGCGGCAGGCTAACCTGGACGCCAAGACCAAGCTTGCGCTTGATGGCCTTCCAGGTCTCGAAAAGGGCAATGTATACAACGACGCAGCCTGCAACGATGCCCCATTCCCATGTAATACCAGTGTGCTTGAACACTGCGTGGTTGATGACAGGGATGTAGACAACTGGAAACGTCATGACGAAGCCGCCCATGACGGCCCAGAAGAGGAAGCGGTTCTTCCAGACGGTCTTGAGAACAGACAAGGGTCCACTGTGAGACTCAGGCTCCATGTTGAACAAACTGCGCTGGAAGTGCTTGACCTCCCAGGATGTGACGAGCAGGAGGAAGCTCAGCGTCGAGAAGGTCGTCGAACGGGCGCGGAAAGCAACGTCGCAGGATGGGTTGTAACCTTCGTTGCAGCCGTGTCCAAGATCGCCGCCGCCAGGGCCGTAGGTGACGGATGCGAAGGCAGCGAGACAGAGAGATCCCATGCACACACCGTAGATCATCTTGTCGCGGACCAGGTCGAAGGTAAAGACACCAACACGTAGGTCGTGAGGCTTGCGGTAGAGGATATCGGGCTGAGCCTCTTCAAGGCCCAGACCGATGGCGAGGAACGACGAAGTGATAAGGTTCGCCCACAAAATCTCAATAGGAGACAAGGGGAAGATCGACGTGCCAGAGTCGTCCTGGAAGACCAGGCCGATCAATAGGAGGAAAACCTGTGCAATGTTGGAAATCAGAAGATGGAGGAGGAACTGTAAACGGCATTAGTCATGTGCGTAGCTGTGTAGCTGATAGCAAACCAAAAACGTACCTTCTGGATGTTGTCAAACAGGCGTCGGCCCTGTTGAATTGCAGTAACGATGGACGAGAAGTTGTCATCTGTAAGAACCATATCAGCCGCCTCCTTGGCGACGTCACTGCCTCGCTTGCCCATGGCAATTCCGACATCGGCCTTCTTGAGAGCGGGCGAGTCGTTGACACCGTCACCCGTCATGATACAGAAGGCCTTGCGGCGGTGCATTGCTTCAAGCATGCGCACCTTGGTCAAAGGGCTACAACGGGCGAGGACGAGAGGCAGACTTTCCAGACTGTCAATCTCCTGCTCGGACATGGAGTCGAAGCGGCTCGCGGGCATAACAGCCCAGTCGCCCTCACCTCCCTGAAGGATGCCGACTTCGTAAGCGATGGCGGTGGCAGTCTTAATGTGGTCACCAGTGGCCATATGGACGGAAATACCGGCAGTCTTGCATTTCTTGACAGCGCCGAGAGTCTCGACACGGGGAGGATCGTAGAGACCGGCGAGACCAAGGAAACGAAGGCCCTTCTCCGTCTC